TGTGCGCGCTACAATTATATCTTATTTAAAAATGTTTTGGTTATTTTTTAAAGTTTCTGAAAAACTGGTTTTCTAGAAAACTGGATCTTCAAGAAACATTGGGGAAAATGCTTTATGCCACTAGAATTAGCTCGTCGAGCTCTATCGATTGGGGTACCTCTCGTTAGTATCTGTGATTAACACTTGGGATAGTTCCCTCGTTAGTCTCCTCTCTTTTTGTTCTCCACGTATAACGTCTTTTTCTGCAGTGAATGCAGGTAAAATCTTCTCCCCTGCGGGGATTGCAGGCAAGAAAACATTATTCTTTATCTGCCGTCCGTCCGTGGAAAAAGTTTTGATTCACCTGCAAATTTGCAACCTACCTACACTGCCTGCAGCTCAAAAAATCGAAACATGCGCCGGTCGAAAAAATGTGTCAAGGAGAAGATGTAACAGAGTTACCATTTTCTGCTCGAACATATAATTAGTATAGTCTCTGACTTTGCCACAACTTCTGACCATACTCCATTATCAGACTGCTTATGATCTGCGCTATCGGACGAAAAAAAATCAATCTGTAAAACGAGTCACTTTCTATATTCTATCTATTATAGAGTCCATGAAAACAGATTTTTCAGTCCATGAACTCTAAAACAGTAGTCCAGTTCACAATACAAAACAACATGTTTTTCACTTATTATTCCTCGGTTCAAGTGAATGCAAAACGTTTTTCGAGTCCAGTTCAGTCCAAGTGCATGAGCTCATAAAATTTTCAGCGCAGTCTGGTCAATATAAAGATCTGATAGAATCGCAACAACTTATTTAAATAAAAAGAGAATTGTACAAAAGTCTTTATCTGAGTAACGTTTCGGCATTTTACACACATATGTTTGTACACGTACAGTGCTTATGCTTGCATATGCTTTTGGCTATGGTACCTTCCTTTGATTACTGATGCTTCAAACAGTAATTTTTAGTTTACTTTCTAGTTCAAAATATTAACATCACAAATCTAACTTTTAAAGAGTTATTGCTTTAAGCTACTTTTAGGATGAACAGTAACGATGGGTCTATTGCATGAGTTAGTCTAGGCTATACCACAGATAGCCGAACCATTTTTCTGAAAGTAGACGCTGAAGAGTTTGAAGGTCATGGTCTATCCGTCAGCCACGCCAAAAAATGTCTCACACAGGTACAAGTAAGGCTTAAACCTCGAGGTTTCCACTACCAAATAATAAAAAATTTTCATTTTGGAAAACATATAACCAGTAGAGATGAGATCAGTTCGTGTTTTTCGGCAACCGAACCGAATCGAACCGACACTTTTTCAAACCAAACCGGTCCCACCTCTGATAGCTATACTGCTGGAGGATCACTTACACTCTGCAGCGTTCACAACAGAAAAGAAAGCAGAAGAGCGACCGTGTTCTTTTTTCTTCCTCGTTCTTGTACGTCACATATGTCGCAATGTTAGAACACACATATTATTACACATTATTACACAATTAGTCACACATATCTTATGCTAGAAGAGATATCTCCATTTTTGCTAGATGCCTAGTATAATTTTTATTTTTTTCAAAATGTCACGCAAGATTAGGAGTGTACATACTTTAACAGCGATCAGCCTTCGTGAAAATAATAGCTCCGAACTGGTGCAAGTATAGGTTGTCCGATCAGTATATGCGTAGTATCAGTTTTTTTTACATATTTTGGGTTTCTGTGTAGTTTTAGACGTATGGTCTGATGCATATACCACAAATTTTCTTTATCGGAATGGCTATTGACACGCCCGGGCGTGTCAACAAGAAGCTATTGCCACTCTCAGGAGTGCCAACAAGGAGCTATTGTCACTCCCGGCAACATAGCTGACGGGGTGATGTATGTACTACATGTACTATAGGTATTTTACATGTTAAAACAAAGAGAAATAAAATGTAAGTAGTAGAAAAAGAAAAGACGTAGAAAGAAGTTATCTATCTTTTGGGGCTTGTACATATGTGAACTGAATAACTGAAAAAGAAAAGGGGTGTGGAGAACGTTCTAGGCGTAAAGTTACATTATCTTTTTAAACTTATAGTATAAATACTGTGTTAGCATCTTATTATTTATTCTTTCAGAAAAACACCATCTTCTATCATCATCGTTCGATCTAGTAATAAGGAAACAATTTATTGTGAACTCGATAAGTACATAGATTCGTTTTTTATCATTGTTTGTTTTGATGTTGATGGGAATATAATTTAATTTGTTAGAAAAAGAGGTGAAATACTTGAACACATACATGTAAAAATATCTTATGTTTTGGTTAACAAAAACAACATTGTTTTCTATGTAGCTAGTACAGTGGTGTAGGTATATGCGCTTTCAGTGATATCTTCTTTGAGTTTATTGATGAAAAGAAGAATAGTAATGATGTGTGACTTCGGCGCATTCTGAATAATTCTAAGAGCAGGGAAAAAATGTTCTCTTTTCTGTAATCCCATTACAATATCTATTTTTCGCTGCAACTTTTGATCTCCTTAACGAATCCAAATTTTTTGGAGTTAAAGTTGTAAAACGATGCTGAGTCTTATCTGTTCAGCGGTATCCGAGCAAAAAGTCGTAGACGTTTTCTAAATGTAATTCCAATTTCCTCCTCCTCGAAAAGCTCCTTGTTGACACGCCCAGGGAGTGGCAATAGCTTCTTGTTGACACTCCTGGGAGTGGTAATAGCTTCTTGTTGACACTCCTGGGAGTGGTAATAGCTCCTTGTTGACACTCCTGGGAGTGGCAATAGCTTCTTGTTGACACTCCTGGGAGTGGCAATAGACTCACCCTTTCTTTATTCACAGAGTAAAACGAATAGTTGAAAACAAATAACGGCGAAAAATTCAACACTCTTTCCATATGTATATTACGATAAAACGATTGAAAAGAAAAAAATGTCTGTTCGATTTTTTTGTTTGCATTTCTTATCTCACAGTTAGTGGCGATAAAATGTACATATGCCAGATCTGTATAGAACTGCTTCGTTGTTAAACGAAGTATAAAAAGAGAATACAGATAAAAAAAGATATTTTACAAATTCACAAAACAAGTACAAGTTTACTTGTCAAAGAACTATTGACTGTTGTCAAAGAAAGTCTTTGAGTATCGTTTTTATTCACTTACAAATGGACAAGTCTGGATAAGTGGATTTTTCATCCCAAAGAGTTTTTAAGAAAAAGCTATATGGCTGTAATCAGCATCGAAAACTGAACAAAATGTTCTGTTCAGTTTTGCCAAAAAACTACTTTCAATTTTTTCGAAAAGTTTGAGGGCTGAGGTGGACCGCAGGTACATCGAAAAACATTCTCCCTCAGAAATGGATGAAAAACATATCACTAGAATCAGAATCCAACGCTGATTCCAAATATGTCCTTGATTTTACTTAAAAGTGTCAAGGAAAATGAAAACTCAGTGATTTTTTAAAAGAGGTATTTTTGATTTCTTTCAGTTTTAAACCATCAGCTAACTCTCAAGCGAGGTCTAAAACCTCGAAAAACACTCAGGAGTGTGTAGAATTATTCACTCTATCCAAAACATGTTAAATGAGTTTTAAAATAATCACTTTTTCATCAATTTTTGGCTAAAAACTGAAAAAGCAACCAAAGTTAGACTAATCCATCATTTCATCACTATTTCCAAGCCATAGTCAAGTCTCCGTCAATTGAGAGCGAAACATAGGTCAAGTCAATTTTTCACGCTGATTTCAAATCTGGCCTCAAAAAGTTCTTGAAAGCTGGTTTTTTAGAAAAACGAGTCTTCAAGAATCCGCAACGTTTTTTTAGTTTTTGAGGCCAGATTTGAAATCAGCGTGAAAAATTGACTCGACCTTGATGTCTCTCTCAGTTGACGGAGACTTGACTATGGCTTGAAAATAGTGATGAAATGATGGATTAGTCTGATTTTGGTAGTTTTTTCAGTTTTTAGCCAAAAGTTGATGCAAAAGTAATTATTTTAAAACTCATTTGATGTGTGATGGATATCGTTCGTGTGCAATCAATTTTCATGTAAAATGATTTCTTGACCATTAGTTCGTATTTGCCTTGGAATATAATCATCCATTCTTGACTTAAAAAGAGTAGGAATGAATTAACTTATTTGACACACAGATATTTCAGCAACTGTAACGTTTCATATGTTTTCTGTCGGCATTCTGTACTCTGTTTTCATAAAACTGGCATCAGAAATTGGCCATACATACAGCTCTTTTGGGCTTGTTAAAGTTCGACATAGTGTTCTCTGGTATTGGGTATAGTTGTTTTAAGATCTCCTTGAAATCTGGAAGATTGGCATTTCATCATCATTATCAGATACAATGCACAAAGAAGCTGAAGAAGTAATTGAAGAGAGAGATCGTCTACAATGTGAAAAACATTTAATTATAAAAATATCTAATTTTTGTGTAACTGTATTTGTTAATCATTCACAATTATCAACATTATTACAGGCAATCCTATATTTTTCCTGTATTTATAGAGAAGCCCTATCTAAATGCTTTTTTAAAATCCTCTATGTTCAGGACGTGTCACTACGAAGCCAGTGACAAAGCGTTACAATATTTAAAAAGAATTGACATACAAGAATTTGAAGATATTAAATCTGGTTATGAAGAGTTTTGTTTAAATACTATTAAAGATAAGTCAAGCTGAACTAGAATTATTAACTAATGCGAGAAATTGTAATCTTATATCATGTATAATTATAAAAAATGAGTCTCAATATGCTCTTCAATATAAAAATCATGGTGGATACAGTGGATTTTTTTTCACAGATGCAATAGATGCATTTCATAATGAAATTGGAGCACTGATAGATGGTATGTTGATTAAAACTATAATTCCAAAAGAAGATGCTGTTGGCGGTATTTTACATACAAAAGAATCTGATGCAGCGTGTGGTAGTTCAGGTTATATTAGTTTGGTAATTGCAACAGAAGCAAAAAATTATATAGTTTGCTGTGGTTTTAATACTTCTTACAGTGGACGTAATTTAGCTGAGATAGAAATAAGAGCAGAGGATGGAGTAACGGATGAAAAATGTTGTATCACGGGCCATGGTATCGATCCAACAGGAAACGTAACAGATATAAACGGATTAATAACAAAGACTTATCATTCTGCTCAAAACGATGGATTGCATGACTTTTATGAAGCTTGTAGAGTATTTAAAGTAGTTTGTAGATTTACTAATAAACCTTGGCTTGGCCTTATTTTCACTACTTTTCCAAAATCTTGATCGAGAAAAATATTTATTTGTTTGTTTATTTCTTTCCACTTCAGTTGATGTCAAATCTAAATATGTAACATATTTAGGTTTTTTCCACTATTTAAATATTTTCTATGTATGGTATTTCTTTCTAATACAGCACAGAAGCAGACAATCAGATAATCTCATGCATTCTATATTGATATTTGAATATTGTCTGTGGATGGTGTATCTCTTGTAACTAGCAGAGAAGCAGACAATCAGATAATCTGAAGCATTCTGTATTTACCTTTGAATATTGTGCGTATATGGTGCATCGCTTCTTACTAGCTTGCCATTGCTGATGAGTGGCTGACTGGTTGAGTGGATGCGGGGAGTGGGTGCTGAGTGTGAGTTAACTAGTAACATTGCACGCGCTAGATTTGCCGGTTTTCCGCAGGAGCGACTGTTCTTCACAGTTATGATAATAATTTTGCGCAGGCTTTCAATTTTAAAAAAAGTTCTCCTGGTCGGCAAGCAACCATAAGATAAATATTTTAGGTTGAGATCACCTGAATGCCTGCTTCTCTGTTAGTTACAAAAGATACAGCATGCATATGTACACAGAATGCATGAGATTATTTGCTTCCCTGCTTCTCTGATTTATAAGAAAGACTGACCGCACTAACAACATATTAAAATCTAAATATTCGACATATATGATTATCTGATTGTCTGCTTCTTCTGGTTTATAAGAAAGACTGACCATAGTTAGAGAATATTCAAATCTGAATAGTCGACATAAAAGATTATCTGATTGTCTGCTTTTCTTGGTTATCAGAAAGACTGACCATACTTACAGACCGTTGAGATGTCATTATAGAAACGCTGTACGTATCGGAAAGAATCTGAACATGTAACATATTTAGATTTGACATGATCTCTTCCACTTATTTAAATATCCTTCTTTTTCTCTTTATTTCATTTTTAACTTTCAAAACTGTTCTATTTCTAATAACAATATAAAAATGGAATTTTATTGTTCTATGAAAATTTCAGTGTCAATTTATTTAACAAGTTCATTTTTTTGTATTATCTGATTACTTGGTAATACATAAGTAATAACTGTTATTACTTATTATCAAGTAATAAGTATTAACTACAAAAAGTAATAAAAATAATAAAAAGTAATAAGAAAATAAAAAGACGATAGAAAATATTTTTAATCATCAATTGGATTTCGGTTCTCACATTGAGACATTAGCACAATATCGAAACTTATTTTGGCATCGTAAGTTATTTTTCAATATTTATGCGAGAGTGATTGCATTATATCAGATTTAGATTTTAAGCTGTGTTGGAAGGTATACTTTTCCAATTGAAACTTGTAGAAATCTTGCTGTATGCACAGAAACAAGTGTTTTCTCGATCCACTACTTTTCCGCGATTATAAAGTATGTTGTCAACTGACTAGTTTTTTCGGGCTATTTTAAAAATTTTAGACATATCGACCAGTGACCGATCGGACCTATCTAAAGTTAAAATGGATCAGAACTGACTGATTCGAAAATTCTCAACTGATTCCAAGTCCGGAGAATCTTTCATCTCCAGAAGTTAATGCATCTGATTTAGTAAACCTGGTTAATTATAATTACTATCTAGTAATTATCATGCACCAAAGTGTTGACACTCAGAATTGTTGAACTATGCTGTATTCTTCACCTACACTCGATTATAAATTAGCAACTAACCGCAGTCTAATTAAAACAAAGTAGTTACTTGAGTCAACTGAATAGCTTTGCTCAAAAATTAGTTTTGAGCAAACGCCATCTTCATCATCATCTTGAGTCTCCAAATTTGTAAACCATCGATTGTCTTTGTATGATTTAAATGCGGTTTTTACTCTATTTTCACTACTGCTGCACCCAAAGCTCCTCTTAAAAAACTGTTAACATTTCTCTTTTTTCTGAAAGGACCGTTACGAAGCCAGTACACAATCAATAAGGCTATTAGTATATATATCCATAGAATAATGTCCTTAATGTCCTTTTAAAGGACATTATTCTAGATATTATCCTAGATATATATATAAATGTACGTGATAACCTATGCAGAGAGAAAGGAGAAAAAGAAAAAGGAATGCAACCATTATAAACTTACAGTAATATATGATGAATACTTGACTATAGTCTATACGACTTGTCCCAGCTAATGGTCTCCTTTTTTGCACACTTTTGACCGTTTTTTTTCGCGACGTCACCGTTTTTCTGGTTTTTCTTTGATTAATACAGATTAATTAGAATAGTTTCGAACTTGACAAGCTATCACATCTTTGTAGCGCAAACAATTTTCTACAAACTGGTATACGTGTTTAATTTTTACCAGCTCGTCTTCACTCTTTTAGACACGCTTTTTAGATAGCCTCAACATCGATTTTTGGGGCTGTTTGTACAACAGCTGTATTTCCATAACAAATCAACGTTCAGAGCCGAGACACTTTTCATTTTATAGAGAAATGTTTAATCTACTCAATTATCTAGTTGTAATTTTAGATTATTTTCTAACTTTATTGCCATAGTTCTTTGAAACAGAGCGAAAAAAGGAGACCGTTGGCTGGACAAGCCGTACAGATAAACTCTTTATATACAATTTTAGACGGATTTTCTTTTCCTTTTCACATGAATAAGGTCTATTATCTCGAGCTAATATTTTAATTATGCTGAAATTAATCGAATCACCCGTTTGAATAACATGTTCACTTAGTGTAATTTAGGTTTAAATTCAGCTAGTGTCCTATTAAGTGATAAATTATTTTTAATGCTTGTCTTATTAGTTATATGTGAGTACCTTAAATTTTGCTGTATTTAAAAAGAATAATGAATTATTATTCTGAGCTTTCGATTCGTCGTTTCATCATCAGAGTTACAATAAATATAAAAGTAGGAAATGAATTTAGCTGCAAAATATTATAAAATAGAAACTTTTATTGTCAAAGTCCTGCCATTAACAAAATTCAACAGAGAAAGAAATGAATCAAGAATGTCAGTTCATTGTATAGTCGTATAAAGGAGTTCTAATATATTACTACATACTGATACTCATTCAAAATTTCTTGCAGCAGTAAATGTTCGTACGCGAAAAATGGTTCGACTAGTGATGAAATGTCAGGTTATATATGCTTTAATGAGGGAATAAGTGCAGCTCTCAAAAACTTCCTTTTTGACTTCAGATATGAAATGATTTACCTAAAAAATTCGAATAGTAAATTAAAAACAAATTTTAATGGTAAATCTTGTTTCTCTGTTTTACGTTTCCACAAGTACCAAGGGTTGGATTGTTCTTTATTCTTTTTCTAATTTTTATTATATGTCATAATAAAATAAAGAGAATAACAATGATTTTTTCGTGTTTATTTATTTGAAAAATTTAGAACATTGTAGTTGTACTGTAAAATGAAAAATAAAACATACAAAAATTAAACATTTTCAAAAAAGAGCAGAGAACAACAATCCAAATAAAGTGATAACAATTTTATCTAAGGAAGCATCTAGTTCAGCCATAAAAGATGAAAAATTGACATATTTAGTATCATGTACGAATGGGGCAAACGCCAAATTGTTGTTTCAATTTCAAATGTTCTTCATATGTTGGATAATCTGTATAACCTTCTTTACTTCCACCATAAAACTTTGTTACATCTAAATTTGTATTAATACAATTATTGTTAATTAATCGTTGTGCTAAATCTGGATTACCAATATATAATCGACCGAAAACAATTGCATCTGCCTGACCATCTTGCAAAACTTTTGCACCTTCTTCATCATTATAATTTGTATTAACTAAAAATTTTGTATGCTCCGAATTAATAAATTTTTTGAATTGGAAAATATCAACGTTTAAGCCACGATGAGCCAAATCAAAATCCTCCCAATACCGTGTTATTTGTATATAGGCAATTTTTCGTTTATTTAATTCTTTTACCAAATATGAATAGGTTTCAATAGTATCTTCTTCTGACATGCCCATATCATTATAGCCACCACCAGGGCTCAATTTAATACCAACACGATCATTTCCATATACTTTAATGCATTCATCTATAATACGAAGTGTAAATCGACAACGATTTTCCACTGAATCGCCCCAATTGTCTTTACGATGATTTGATGTATTATCTAAAAATTGATGAGGTAAATAACCGTTCGCGCTATGTACTTCGACACCATCAAAACCACATTGTTTTGCTCGTTCAGCTGCACGTCGAAACAAATCAATATAATACTCGGGATCATCAATTTCTTTTGGTTGTACATAACCGGGACGTCCTTCCAATTGACGAAATTTACCACCTTGAGCTGCAACTGGTGATGGGCCAACATTAGGTTCACCATGTTGAAGGAGAGGATGAGCTACACGTCCAACATGCCACAATTGGAGGAAGATCAGACCATTATGAGCATGTACTGAATCGACAACGGATTTCCAACCTTTCGCTTGTTCGTCGTTGTAGAGACCTGGTGCATTACTCCATTCTGTGCCTTGTGCGTTGACTAATGTACCTTCTGTGAGAATTAAACCAGCACCCGCACGTTGTGAATAATACTCAACTTGTAATTGTGCAGGAACAATATTACGATCACGTGTTAATGATGCCATTACAACACGATTTTTCAAATTTAATGAGCCTAAACGTAATGGGGTTGAGTAGGTAGTGGTAGACATTCTAAAACAGAAGACAAATACGAATTAAAAATCGAAGTAATTTCGATAATTGCAACAAGCGATTTTTTTGTCATAAAAAACATCATATTTCTCTTTTTGTTCTCTTAAATCTGACACATACAAAACGCGGTGAGCCATTATACTTGTGTGACTACATCAGAGAAATATTATAGACACGATAAAAGTGTTTCGGTAATTTTTTCTGTTCTATTCTGAATGTCACTTGTTATTTTATTTTCTCTAGGTGATTATTCCTTGTATATTTTCTTGTCTTGTCTAATGCATAGACGATAGTCGTTTATCCTTAGCTTATAGAAGAAAAAGAGAAAGAAAATACGTTTCAAAAAGCAAACAGTAGAAGAATAAACCATTAGAGCTCTACCGTTTAACGTATCTTTATCTTTTTCTTGATGTCGCATGCAGATATCTGTATGTCAGACATAAGGATACATACAGAAGAGAAAGCATAATCTGCATGCGACATCAAGAAACAGATAAAGATACACTAAAAGGTAAAGCTCTATTAATAATGTTCTATCGTAGATCGTAAATTCTTTATTTCACATACGACAAGATGCATATATGTCCCACATACAAATTCTGCATGCCACATCAAGAAAAAGACGAATTTACACTACGATAGAACTCTAATATCAGCTGAAATTGAATATTCATCAATTGGAGAGTTGCAGACACACAGATCATACTGTTTATCACATACAAACATGCAAAAGAATAAAGTTCTCCGCAAACAAATCACTGAGTTTTTTATCGATAAGAAAATCTATTCAAAACTTGTCTCAAATCAAACAGCTAAATTTAAGCTTATCAGACACTTTGCTATGAAGACTTATGCTTATCTGTCGTAATCTGATGAAGAATAGGAATGACGAAGATTAGTAGTCTATCTTTCTTCAAACTAAGATATGCTTACAAAATCAAAATATATTAACGTATCATGGTTATGTAGGCATGTTCTTTCTTTTTGCTTTATTTTGTCTGTCAAACTAGTCTCTTTTATCATTGATAACATTGTAGGGCATTGTCCAAAACAAAAAATACCTTGTTTTTTAGATTATTGAATAACTTATAGAAAAACTTTTTTAAAAGATGTACTGCGAAATACTCTACAAAATCATACCTGAAGTATAATTTCAGGACTTCAATCAAGAAAACTAAGTCAATTAGATAAAAGTCGAAAAAAATGTAAACTTTCTAAACTCAACATTTTTTTCGACTAGAACTTTTTCTTCTGCTATTATTCTCGCTCAAACTGTATTCTCATCAGCATGTAGCTATGTACAAAATTGGTAAAAGCCAAGACTTATTTGCGCTCCTTAACCACAAAATACCATTTTCAAATATCATGCACCTAGTTTAACATCATGCGGACGAAGGAAAAGCAAAAACAGCTTTTTAGCTCTAGAACGCACTTAAGTCGAAATGTTTTTGTTTTCAAAAATAGTTGGAAGACACATGATTCGATGCAGTTTTTCACCCCATTCCAAATATGTCATTGTTTTTGTCTAAAAGTGTTTCTGGACCAAAATAAATGGGTTGTACGTGAAAAACCGATGAATCAGTTCAGAAGTATTTCCGCTAGTTTGCGCTATTAGTGTACATGTGTCATATGGAGAAAAACATCTTATGAAAGTTTCATCTAGTTTGGATCATGGATAAGCATGGCGCGCTCACATTACTGGACACAGCTTTTCGGAAAACAGATAGCTGGAATGATAGTTTTTGTACCATTAAATAGGTCGTTAAATGAATTATATTTGACACTATAATTGAAACTTTAAAAAAACGCCCTTTCATTTTTTCACCTAATGTCTACATGGTTACTCACTGTGTCTTTTTAAAAACTAAAGGTTGTGACGTAAACTTACGTTGACGGCTATCGATATCACGTCTTTGTAAATACACAGGAACAAGGGCGATCACAATTACTCCTGCACATATCAAACCGACGAGGATCAAACAGCACGAAGCCAGTAATGGTAGACCTCGAAGTCTAAAACATAAGTCATATATGGCTCGGCGGATGGAAGAGAGGAAGAAATATACCTCTTTGAGGAAGGTGAGAGGACGTTATACCGGTGCACGGTCTCCATTCGGAATCGTACTTTTCCGGAATACAACTACGATTATCTACCAACTCCTGTAATAAAGAACGGAGGTGAGTAACATAGAAAATTGTCCCGCAATGGAATAGTTTCGGATAAGGCCACCGGAGGCGTACATAATCTTATATCATAATTCGATCAAACCAAGGAAAATGTCATTCATCATACTAGTCCTTTTTTTATTTGTATTTTCTTAATTATCTGATAGATATGCGCACGTTGGCGATCTACGCACATTATCATCACCACTGATCATAAAAAACAAGAGGGGGTATAGTTTCAATATATAGCCTACTTACTTTAGTAAGCTGTAATGCAATAATAAAACTTCAACAAGGTGTTTGTTTGTTTTACTCAGAATGCTAAGTGATTCACTACAATTTCTTGTTGAACAATTTATATAGAATCATAAAGAGAAGAGTTAGAGAGAGAAATATAGTTCGGATTATTATCTGGAGAATATAGGAGCGAGAGAGGGGAGAGAGAGGCTCTGACACAAGCAAAAGGAGAAAACTATCGTATACTAGTCCCTTTTGATTTGTATTCTCGCGCTTATCTGATAGATGTGGGTACATTAACGGTAGATTAGTATATTATCTTTCTTCGAACTAAGGTATGCATACAAAATCAAAATATATAGACGTATTATGAATCTGAATCTGATTTATTTCCATGTGAGATTATGAACATACGCAAATATCAAAAAGCTAGTACAAGACACGAAAGGTTCCGGCGATATGATTATTCACACACGTGGTCAAATCATATCGAACTAATCTATTTTCATTATTAAAAACGTTGTACGGCATAATAATGACGAAGATTAGTATACCGGCTTTATCTTTCGGTCTTCAAAGGTTTGGGTACAAATATCAGCAAAAAATTTATCTAAGACGATTGATGCTTCTACAGCGATTCGAACATTAAATGCTGAAGTGCACGCTTTACTTGGATAGATGTTTTTAAGAACACAGTGAATTTCATATGGTAACAGTTTTTCGTCTATCTCAGAACTAGAAGGAATAATGACAGAAGGAATACTTTTTTTGAGCTTGTTGGGGATTTTAGCGTTATAATAAGCAAAATAATTTAAAATATATAGACAAACAGAAACTTTATTGCTTTAACAATGAAAATGAGACACCCTATATAGAAAACTACCCACTGTGAGGGCGATAGTGGAAAAGCTAAAAGTTTAATATATGAAAACTGGTATTGACACCAGCAAGGGTGTCAATAAGAAGATCATTCGATAGTTAAGCAACCCAATCTGCGAAGATCTACCGCATATTTCTTACGGAAGACTTTAATATTGATTGTTCCAAATATTATAATGGCACAAGAACGTCAGAATTTATTCACCAGTCTTACATTTACACAGCTGGTTAAAAGTCGTACTAGAGCTTCATCAAACACATGCTCAGATCTGCTACCAGAAGTCTTTCTAATTGAATCTCTTTCGATTCTGCGTCCACTCTGCCAGGATTGAATACGATTTCAGTAAAAAATGCGTGTAGAATGATGAAGACAAAGCAAATATCTAAACTTTCAATCGCTCCATCCTCATCCTCACTACTTCACCCTCAGTTATGCACGTTTATCCTTTTACACTTTAACATATAAGAATCCGCGGCGACGGCGATTGCCGGATGATATCAGGAGTATGATTTTCACATACAAACGTTTACTGCCAAAACTCACATTTGGGCATCCAATCAGAGTTTCCCTAGAAATATGAAGGTGACATCCGATAGAAAATTCAATTTTCTACAAATGGAGCTAAAAAACTTTGTTTTAAAACCTTTGCAACAGTTTGAAAAGTTGAAAACAAGACGGCCGACTGACATCGTTTTTCATTTTATTTTATACAGATTGGCGCTTCAGTTCTGAAGTCTTCATCTTCACAGCAGTCAGATTGAACATGAAAAGTTGGTGTTATATAGAGATTACTATTTCCTCTTCTTTTTCTTTCTGTCGCACTATCAATACGAAAGAGAAATGAGCAATTTCTATATAACACTAACTTGTAAATGTTCAATCTGATCAGCTGCATCTGATGAAGACTTCTTTGAAGCTGAAACGCTACAAGGTCAACATGAACTGAATTTTTAAAATTTTCTTTTTCTTAATAATTTTCTTTATATGGTGTAGCGTTTCATAATAACACTCGTTCTTTATATAACACTAACTTTCCATGTTCAATCTGACTGCTATGTCTGATGAAGACTTCAGAACTGAAGCGCCAATCCGTATAAAATAAAATGAGTTCTATCGAATACTAGGCATATGAGCTTTGGACCAAGTCTTGGAATGAATCTGTAAAATGCTTACTGGAAAACCGTAATTTTTCTAGTACGATGCCCTTATGTAAACAAAAATATTGTCGATTTGTTTCTTCTTCAAATAATATTGTCTGTAATTCTTGTTTGGTTGAAATGGTACTTATATCAAATGAATAATACTGCTGTTCATCATCCGATATTGGTTTTATAAACTGTTTTAAACATTCTCCATCCAAATTATAATAAGTTCTGAATATCAAATTTTTTTTGATTATTGCATGAAGTGCTTGACGTAATCTATTTATAAATATTGTACCATTTATTACTTTTACTACTAATGGAATGTTATAAATTGCACAAGAATGTTTTTGTTCTTGTTGTTGATTAAATCGTATTTGTTCATCTAACCAAATTCTCTCTTGTGCAAAACTCGCTTTACCTAAAAGTTTAATAGAAAAACTTCAGTCTTTGATTATTACTCTTTACAAAATTACTGTCTATAACTAAAAACTACCCTTCTGTTGCTGATTAATTAAAGAAAATTCACTTTTACATCTAAATAGCTGTGCTTTTAATGTAATTAGAGTTCATCGTTTAATGATCGACAGAAATAGAAATGCAACATTTTGAAGAATATGGCATTTTTTATTCAATAGTACGTAATTCTATCTATATTTCCATCCTAGTCATTTCGTTTTCTGAGCTTATCAGGAAATGTCCATCGGCTTGTCTGACTAACGCTATCCCGTGCATCATCAAACTATTATTTGCAGCCATCTGTAAATTTGTACCGATGACACACTTACTCTAGTTTGTTTCACACATCAAAAATTCGAGTATAAATGAGCTAGATTTATCCTTTAGATAACTTTTATTTGCAGTGTGTAACTTATCGGATGCATTGACAGGATGTCATCGCGTTACCATAACTGTAGATCTGTAGATAAACAACCCAGATCCTCGATTGAAATTTCCATCTGATGCTTCAAAACTCCTACGTTATAGCTAAAAACCATCTAATGGACACTCTCATCAATATCGCATTTAGAGAAAATCAGAACTCTTTAACTAGCGCTGTAAAGTATTTCCGTTTTTGGTTACCGACCGTATAAACGCAGTAGTATTTGAATGATAAGTAGTAAGTCGAAATTTCTGACATCATTGATAGAAGCCATCGAGGTGTAATAAATAATAAAACATTTGCTATAGGTTTTTAACCATTACGTAACTAGTGAAAATATTTTTTGCAAAATAAAGATGAAAAAAATAATTTGCAGAGATGGTTTTAAGGTAAAAAACCGTTT